GTTTTTTTTTTTCCAATCTGCTAGGAAAGCCATTACACTGATGGCAATTGGATTGGTGCAGCCATGGCAATCTTGAAAGCATTTTGGATATCTTTGATTAAATGATATAGTGGGCAAAATTGCTTCTCTAGCAAAAGCCTAGCATGGATGGTTTTTTAATTAGAATGAATTAATATGGCACTCTCATTTGTAAAATCAAATGAAAGGCAAAAAATAAAACTGAGGAATCCAAGAGAGGGAAAACACCCCTTTATTTCCTCTTCGGGCTGATTATCACTGCTCTGTTCTAAAAATCCCTTTGCTTCCTTGTGTAATCAGGTTGATTAAAATCCTCTAAAGATATAAAACAGCTGCACAGACCTCCAAAAAGCACACTCCTCTCTGCTGCATGTGCATTGTAGTCTTTTCAGCAGCTTTGTTTTCAAATTATTCTTTTCCCTTCATTGCCTCTGAAAGCCTATTACTGGATTTATTAAAACAAAGCCGAATGAGCGTGCTGAATACAGACACAATGATTGCCTCAACACATGTTGTTCTTGCAAAGAGCACTGCACTAGAAGGTCTAAACTGCCAGCTGCTGCTGAACTGAAAAGAGAACAAAGAAAAGCCCAGATGAACTCATGAAAGTGTTCATTAAAGGGAGACTCCATATTTTGCCTTTCTATCAGATGCTGCAAAGTTAAAATAATAATTATTAGGCTGAAGTCAAACCATGGCATTTTCCTTAGCTCAGGCGTGGAGACAAGATGTTACTGTATTGGCTAAGACAACAGGGAGACCTTCCCTTTGTCATGGGCTGGGACTGTGCTGAGCTGGATAGATGTAGGTTCTGGGTGCTATGTGCCCCCAATGGCTTTGGGTGGTGGAAGTAATTCAGAAGGGGGCCAAACTGCTGCTTTTCCACCTACTCTTGCCCTTTCTCGCCCAGCTATGGGCACGCTGGGAGCTGCAGATGCTGTCGACAGGGCCTGGCTCTGTTCTGCAAGTGCCACCACTGCGGGAGAGGCAAGTGCATGGGGATAGCAGACCAGAGAGGGCCTGAGACCTGGCTGTGAAGTGGTGGGGAGGGAGGAGAAATACATAAACCCTTGACAGCTGCTTGCATTTTATTCCTCACACCGGTGCTCACGTGAACCAAGTCATACCCAATGGCTAAGGCAGATCTCTCCTCTGCCATTTGCTTTTTGTAGGGCTGATGCTGCATTGCTGTTGGATGGTTGGATTGGATGCTGTTGGATGCTGCTGGATTGGTGGATGTGCCTCTGTGAGCAAGTAAGGGATGTGATCCAACTGGTCCTAACTCTGAGAGAGGTTGATGTGTTGCATCTGCTAAACTAATGAGAATGGGTGCTGAACCTCCTGGTGACACCTTCCATGGCAGCAAGTGATCTTGCTGCTTCTTACTGAGCTGTCCTCCTGGACTGCTCCCTCCGTGGTAGGAGGCTCATCTTCTTTATGTGACCTAGGCTGCCTTTACTTTGGCTCAAAACTAAGTAATAGAAACTACTGTGGGCAAAGTAGCTCTGCAGGTGCCCAAACACGTCCCCCTGGTGGAGTCTGCTGCTTGAGCAAGGCATGGGCATTTTTATCCCTGGATTGTTCAAAGTCAGTATAACAACTCAAGTTTCTCACCTTTTAAATTTCCTTTCTTCATATTCTGTGTTACTGGAGAGCTGGTAAAACCCTGCAGTGCTCGTAGCAGTCACAATGTAAGAGAGACATATCCATACTGCCTTCATGCAAGGTGTTCTGGGAGGAGGTGGGTGGCTCACCATATGCACAAAAGTCTACTCAGAGGGAAAGTGGAGATTGCTTGGTCTATGTACCCTGTGCTATGTCCAAGGCCTTTAAAAGGTATCTGCTAACAAAGATATCTATTGTGGCAAACAAGGAAATGAAGAAAATATCATGTGTTAATTTTGAAGAAGCACCCTGGCATAACATGTTGGGCTAATGTTTGTGGGATGCATTTTCTTCTTATCCTGGCCTAATAACTTTGAGGTGGTTACTTCAACTCTCCGCAGCTCTGTTCCCTCATCTGTTAAATAGAATTAGCACTAGCTAATTCCTTTTGAAAACACTTAGTGGACTATGGAGGAAAATTCCTGTGTCATACACTAGATATTTTATTCTCAGTTCATCAGACTTTCTGTCTCATCCTGGAGACAAGAAAGCCTCAATGGCATAAATGAGTTTATGTTTAGTTCAACAGTAAATATTGTGTTTACTTTAATGTTTAATAGAGCCTTATCTGTCAAAGGCAATTTGGTATACTTTATGGAGAAAAACTACTTTGCAATTCTGAAACAGTGATAAAGTAACTTTAAAAGTGTTTTAAAAGATGAAAATCTATTACCTGCTAGATAAAAGTAAACAGAATCAATCCTATTTGAATGACTGAGGACAGGGCGGCATTATTTTTTAAAATTCCAAGGACTAGACTTGGGGAGGGGAAGCTACCAGAAAAACTGTGTGTCCCAAATGGTTTTAAATCAGTAAAATCTATGTTCTGTTATAGAGACGGAGCAAAATCCTGGCCCCACTGATATTAATGACAAATCACCCAATGAAGTCAGTGGGGTCAGGGTTTTACCCTGAGACTCTATTTGTTTAAAAATAATTCACATTGCTGACACTTTTATACACACTTACATAACATAGACTTACAGACTTCCTGTGCCGTACCCATATATATTATCTTTTATAGCAGTGCCCTTGTACTAATGCTTTGTAAAATCTTCTCATGATTTACAACAGTAAGGAAAAGATTTTCCAATTTCTCTTCACGCTCCTATTCAGAGGTCACTCTGTATGTTGCTCTCCTCTCTTACACCAGTGCAAACCACTGAAACTCTATTCCAACAGAATGATAATAAAGCATATGCTTTAATTTAAAGCATCTGAATAGGAGCAGACACATTCCACAGAACATGCCGGTGCTTTTAACATGCAGTGGGGCTGCACTGTTTTGCTGCACTGAACCCTTTATTCCCATAAAATGCCGTGATATGGAGACTGAGTGATTTATACGCCTGTTATTTGTGCTTGTGGGAAAGAACAAAAGGGATGCATAAAACTAGCAGTCAGTGCAAGAGTTACAGATAGCCTTCGCTGGGGCTCCGGACTCCTTAGAAAAGACAGGTTCGGAAACTTGCATTGCAAAACATGTTTTTCCTTTGTTCCTTCTCTGTCTGAGGAATAAAGCCCTGTGGACAGTCCTCTGTGTTCACAGTCCCAAGACAGCTGCATCTAGCTCCTCGGCTGATGGGGAAACCTCTGCACCAGCTAGCTTCCTGGACACCACCCACGGGACCAAGCAAGACCTCTGGAAACTGCTCACTGCCTGACACAAACTGGAACCAAAGCTCTGTGGCCGGCCGAAATGCCTGTCCTCCTGGAGGGGAACAGCAAGAACCCCGTAATGTCACTCCCCAATGAATTACAAATGTGGCAGATGTGGCACATAAGCTCAGGTTTTTCTCCCAGCAGAAGCAGAAATGATCTGGCAAGTGTGTGAATCAGTTCTCTAGCCTAACGGGGCAACCGCATTCTAGAAGAGCATAAACTCTCTCTCTCTTTTTTTTCCTTTTTTTAAAGTCTCACGCCATGGCGTATGTTCATTTTTCCATAACTTTCATAGTTTGGAAGAGAATTTTGTTTTTCTGGTTTTACCCAAATACTTTCCTAGTATTGAAATAAGAGGATGTGACATGATATTTTTACAGGTTCCTGTAAATCTGCACTACTCACATTTCTGAAAGGTATTACATGTCATGCATGTAAAATAACCAATATTGTCATTGCTCAAAGGAATGCAGGTAGCTTAAATAAATTTTGAAGTAGAAAAAGCCCTAAAATCCCCTTCGAAGCCTTTTCCCAAGCTTTGTTAAACAGGTCACTCTTTCAGCAGTTCAAAGAGCAGCTATGGATGTGATTAATTTTTTAAAACACATTTTTGAAAATCTGTGCCCATTAAGTTCAGATCCCCTGTTAAAATATGTGTTTGTAGGTGCCTAACCATGTAAATAAAGCTCTTTCAGCTGGGGTGCTTATGGATGATTAAAATAATATCCTTATATCTGTTTCTTTGATCACAAATTAGCGTAACACATTATCTTGATCCTCAGTAACTTCCAGCTTTGATGATATATTTAATAAAACATGGTGCTGTGTTGGAGAATCCCTAGAGAGGCTTTAATTTCTTTTCTTTTTTTAATATATATTACATTTTAAATTGGATTAAATTGTCTGATTAGTAAAGCAGGCTCTTGCAGTAGCAGATAAACCCTGAATTCCTCAGGGTGATCTACAGCCATCCTCAAAGCATCTTTCCAATACACTGGCAAGCTCAGCAAACCCCGGAAAGTTAAGTGAAACATTTTCCCAGCGCCAAGGCTGGTTTCATGTTCCCACTCCACCTTTGCTTTGCTCAGTCTTGTCCTTGCATGCAAACCTTTAATTTTGCCCATACAAAGGTTGGTAAGGCTGTACTCGAAAGCAGGTGACAGAACTGATGCAGCCTTTAAAAGACAAAAATCTCCTCCGAATCCAAAAGTTGTACAGGGAGTTGCCTGGACGCAACCACGGGCCTGGCGTGTTGCGCTGCGAGGCAGGGGAATCCATAACGCAGCCGTGTTGCCACCGAGCATTATTAAAATAATGGTCAGCAAGGTCAGCTACGGCCATTCCCTCACCAGCCCCGGATGTTTGCTGCTGCTTGAGGGCAGCTTTGTGCCACCCCGATGGGGCCGGTACGGCCTTCCCTTCGGCAAGTGGAGCAGCCAGCCCTTCTCTAAGGTACCTCATTCTTTTGTTCATTTTAATTGTCTCCAGCAGATTAGTGGGGGAAAGTGGAGCTTAATAAACTGTAGTAGAAGATGGCTAGATGAATCTCTCAGAGATGAGGTCCTTTTTAGGCTGTCAAGCAATAATAGCCTTGAGAACCTGGAGCCATATCATTATGCTCTTTATTACATTTTATAAAGACTATGTATTACAGAAGTAACATTGTAGAGTTGGACAGTGATAGCCCAAGCAGCTTTTGCCATAATGCATGTGCAGGAAAATTCTTCATCACTTTGGCTTTTACTGGCTAACACAATTGTGTTTAGAACAGTCAATCAAGTACTTATGCAAGAAGAAAAGTTAGGAGGTACGGTAGACTGACTAGTGAAATAAAAATCCAGATTAAAAAGACATAAACGCAAAAGCCCTTTTAACTCATTATGGCTCTGCCTCTTGAATCATAAGGTTTTTAATATTTCTTTGCAGACATTTCTATATATATATTACATTGCTGTAAAATATACTTTTATACATGTAAATTGTTGCATAATACTCAAGGAAAAATTATACCTAACCCTCTGATTATTGTATAAATATTTCAAATGTTTAGCGTCATGATAGAATTCCTATCTAAATTATGCTGAAGTTCCCCAGCACAAGGCACAAGACAGAGCTGTATAATACAACTGGGTTTTTTGGTCATTCAGCATCAAGACCCAGCTCAGACATCACTTATACATGTAGCACTTATACATGTATACATGTACATGTATACATGTTTACACAGGTGAGTAGCACAGCCACCTTTTCAGAGAGACCCTCGTGTGAAGAGCTACTCTTGCACAATGCAGATCAGCAGAAATACTCACAGCATGTAAGATGGTGTGTTTTAGCTTTTTCAAAGTTGGGCCAAAAAAGAGTTGGATATTTTCAGGACCCAAGCAAGGAGATGTGGGACAGGAGTAGGGGTTGTTTCTTCATGTCTACCCAGTAGAGAAAAATCTTTTCAAATTCACACAGGTAAATATGTCCTTCCCCTCCCAACCACTGGAAGATAATAAGATTATTGAACCAACAGGAAGAAACATTTCACAACATGCTTAAAGAGTGCTGAAATAATTAATGGTAATTTAAAAAATTCCAGTTGAAAAGCTCTAGGAGAAGAATATGTATGATGAAGGATCTGTTGGGATAGACGTAATAAATGAGCTTGATAGCATTTCAGTAAGGCATTGCTCGTATAGGCACAGAAAGCACAATGTAAAAACAGAGCGGGGTCAGGGAGTCTGTTGAAATAGAGATAATGGGAGGAGACCTCACAAAGCACTGCTGTGTTTTAGCTGTCTTTGCTGAATCTGTTTTAAGAATGAGTTTAATTACCTTTTGCTTCACTTTCCAGCTGGTATTTAAATAACTGACTCCAAAGTGAACTGAAATTTGCAGTATCAGCTGTTTGGTTTGAGGTAAAAAACAGGCAGGTGAAGAAAGCCTAGTTCCTCGCACTGGCATATAGCTCTGCCTACTGCTATATGTAAGACTGAAGCCCAGGACACTGAAAACCTGAGCTGATAAGCAGGGATTTGCAAAACCCGGGTACTACCACTGAATGCATGCATCAGCAGCAAGGGCTTCTGATTTTCCTGGCTGCATGTATGCTTCCTCTTAGCTCCTCAAACCAGGATCCAAAATCTGTCCATGCCCCCTCTCTCCCCTGGCCTCACGCAGCCCCCAGCCAAGGACATTCGTGTGACATTTAAGGCAGTGAACATAAGGCATTTTAGGAGGAACCAGTAGCCAGTACCGCGTAACGGCTCCATAAACCACAAGATGACAGGATCTGTCCCATTGGAAAAGTCATGAGAGAAAAACTCCTTTGAATGTATCTCTGACCCAAGAGATAAAATTAGAAAACTCAAAGCTGACTGTTGTGAAATTGGTTTTGCATACTCTCGTAATGTGGAAAGTTTAGATAAGTATCTGAGTAGATGTCTTGGTCTTTTTGAGGACATTGGCTGTATTCATACCGCCCCTAACGGGGCCAGGATTTTATCCCTGAACTTTGTGCTACTTATGCAAGGAAGCCAACACTAAGTCATATCAGTGCTCAAATGAGAGCAGAAATGAAATCTGTGTGGTGCTCAATTTGCTAAGGAACTTTCCTTTTAGTAGGCAAACGGTATTACCTTGTTCAAGAGTCATGACTGCTTGTATGAGGGAACGGCCTGCAAAAATTCCACCAATCAAATAGTTTATTTGAAAAAATACCTCCAGGAAAATAATTAGTAGCATCAATTCGAGTGACCAACTATAAACCACGGAACTCAGAAATAGAGCTGTCTTGCAGGGAGTAAAGATGCTTTCCTCTTAAGAAAAGTTTGACATTTTCAGGGAAAAATTGAAAGAAAAATCCTAGTTCCACAGCATAATATTGTGATTCTAAAAAATGGCAACGGTTTGAGTTCAGGAGTCTCGGTTCCTTTCTCCCTGGAAGGCAGTTTGAGGGCCTAACTCTTTCCTTAAATTATATTTCCATGATGTCTCCTTTCTTTAAGAAGAGTGGTTAACTAACCTCATTTGCAAAAACTTAGCTTCAGTTGAGCCCTTATCCACTCTGATTGTTAGAAAATAGATGACAAATCCTTGCAAAAATGTTCACCTTACTAACATTTCTATGCTGATAAAATAAAACTTATTTAATGGGAGAATTTATATATTTACACACACACACACACACACACACACACACACACACACACAGTTTTTGGCAGCAAATAAGTCAATCTAAAGAAACTCTCTTTTTCCATTTAAAATGATTCCACCATGTAAAAATGAATTAAGGCACAAGGTATAAATAGACACCAGTTAAATGTGTATCTTTCTTTTGCAGAAGAGAGGGCTATTTTGTTGTTTTCTTTCCCTTTGTAATAAGCTTAGTAAGAGTACTAACGTTTTTCCGTTGCATTAAAGTATGCTTTTTGTGAATACTGTTAGAAATCAGATGAAAAAAATGGCCTGTGTAAATGGCATATTTAAAAATGCTCTGCTTCTAATCAGGTCTTTTGATTCAATCAAGTGAAATGCTGCTGGTACTCTCTTCTTCAGTCCCATATTCTTCTTTCCTTAAAAGCACATGTGACCCTGTCCTGTACAGAATTTGATGACAAGCGTCTACATTACTTATATTCCTCTTTAAGTCCCAGACACTAAACTATCCCAAAATTAAGGCTGGTGTAGTATTTCAGGCTTAAAAATAAATTTACATGATGCTTACCTTCAGCACCGTATTAAATTCACCCTGTGGGGAAAGAAATGCCCACACTGTGAACAGGAATAAGTGTTCTAATGTTCCTGGGTATCACACTGCTGGGAAATCCATCTGAAAGACTCTAATTTTCACCATATATTGATTTTTACCATAAGTTGTTCTAAACTTAGAAAAGGCCAGGATCTGGCAAGTATCCTTTTTGTTTAGTTCTTGCAGATGGAAACCATGAGGTGCTTTCTCAGCTTGAAACTGTTCCAAAACCTGAGGCACTAATCTCACATATTAAACTGAATTTATATAAAATCTTGTGTCTTTACATCATGCCACATCATTTATGGCATGCTGGGCAGTGACAGGGTAAGCTATGAAAACACTGTATCACACAACAGATCAGAGCTGGCTTTGTAGCGGGTCTCATGAATTTCTTCATCCAGAAGGAATAAATTTTGTATGGAAACATTCTGCATAGTAAAACTGGATTTAACATTTACCTCTTATTACACTATAAATCAGAAATTAGAAGCGATAGTGGCAGCTATCCATCAACAGCAATGCAACTGCAGATGAATAGAAGGAGTTTCATGGGTAAGAGAAATCCCCCTCCCTTTTTTTTTCTTAAAAAAAAAAGCCATCTCTCCTATTTTAAAGATTGCTAGGCTCTGAATAGAGAATGATTAGATCCATGCAGGTCATCAACCTGGATAAGGAAGATGCATCTGAAATAAAACCTCTCCACATTGCAAAACGTTATTCTGAATCTCTAGTAGTGGGCTTGAGTTCAGATACAGCAGTTTGCATTGTAGACCCCTCTTGACACAAGATGTGAAGAAACATCTACCACAGCCGGCAAGATTCTGCACCTCGATTCATAGTCGTATTTACTGGGCAATTGAAAGCTTTACGGAACTCTTCAAAATTGCTCATGGCACCAATAACTCTGCAAAGAAAGAAGAAAAATGATCGACATGCAAGTTATTTTCTGTTGAACACTATAGGTTCTGCAAGTTCTTTTTTTTCCCATATCATTTTTTTCCAGAAATAAAAACAAAAAGTTCACAAGAAGCAATACCATTTAAAGTTAACGTGAAGCCGATCTTGTTTCTTTCAGCATTTTGAGAAGTATCTTACTTTGCAAGAAACTAGAGTGAAAAAAATTCTATTGTTTGGTACTATGTCATTCAGTACAATTTTCTAATCCAACCATCGGCAGGAAAGGTAGCAGGTCAGCAGTAACCTTGTATAGTGGAATTCTTCTTCCAGCAGCTACAAAACTGCTTCAGTCCTGCTAACTTCTGCCCTGGCCCCCTCTCAAGCTCTTTTGCACATCTCTGCCTTGCACAATAGACAATGTGTCTGCATCCCAGACTGGCACCTTCAGGCACAGGGGAAGAGCTTGCTCTTTATACGCAGTCATCCTTGGCTGCTTCTTCCATGTCTGTGTTATTTCATGCTGTCAGAAATGGTTATTTTACCATTGCTAGATTGAGATTGTGTTGTTTGCTGATTTCTCCTCATGCTTTAAAGCATCTTGGAACTTACTAACCTGAAATTTGAAATGGTGTTAAATTAAGCAGCATCCTGGGTTAAAAGCAGAAAAGTATCTACTGAGATATTAATTGTAGGCCTTTCCAAGGGAAGGTATTGCAGACAATCAGCTTCTCAGCGTAGCTCAGCACGGTAGAAAACATTCTTATTACACTGATTAGACTTTCTGTGGGTAAGAAAATCTGCAGTCAGCTAGTGCAAAAATGTCTAAAGGTCAGATTTGTAGGCAGCATTCCATTATGCTGTTAGGCTTCACATAAGACATACAGTTTTACTGTAGAAAAGTTGCAAATATTTATTCAGGGACTGGGACAGCCAGAGCTCTGCATGCAGAACTGCTGCCAAAGTTAACGGGAGTTCTGGCTGCCATGCTGGGGATTTCATTTTGAAATAGGCATTAAAAATGAATAAAGCACATGCTAATATTGCAAAATTGTTAATTAAATATAAATAAACCCAGAAATTTAGTAAATTTGTTAATTAAGTATAAATAAAAATAGAAATTTAGTAAGCAAAAAATATTTACATATCCATAAGTGTGACTCTTCTATCTGTGCTTTGATATTGCCACATATTAACTGTGGAATCTGAGTGGGCCATCTGGATTTCATCCCACTGAACTACAGCTTAGGCAAATTCTCCTGATTGGGTCAGCCTCGGCTCCTTTGACAGTCAAAAGAAGTATATATGTGCAGAGTCCAAGTCATCCAACTTACATAGTTACAGATTGATGAGATATACATACATACCCTCAAAATACCTATTCCTTTTTGACTATGAAGGCAACCGCAGGTGACTAGCTCAGATGTAGACACCTTTGCTCAAGATGTGTTTCTTCTCTTTTTTTTTTCCTCTCTTTTATGATTACCTTTTATAATTACTTGAAATGGGCTATATGGGCTTTTTGGATAGCAAGAGTTGTCAATGTTGAAAGTAGCTGTACTGCTGTTATAAACATGATGGTCTCAGGACATAAATCCAGCAAAGTTGGACAAAATAGATAATATTGCTTGTTAGCACCGTTGATATGATTTGGTAAAACAGACAAGCACCACTGTCTCTCTCCAGGTCTGAAATAGAAGCCTGTGCTGAGTATCTCACATAAAAATGAAGACAAAGGTTTAACTGTATTTTCTAGATTCTGGATTCATCTAATTTCGTCTGGAAGTTTCTTCCATAGCCTGATTCTTTCAGCTAAATGCGATTTTTGCTCATGAATACTCTGTCCACAGCTACCCTGCATCTTGTGTGATTTGCTCCATCTTATGGGACTGTAGCATGTGATGACTCAGAATATATAAATAGGTTACATATAATATGGGTAAACGAATCTGAAGGTTTCAAAAGGTAAGAGCCAGCTATTTTACCAAAATCTTGACAGAGTAGGAATTATAAAAAAATCACCCTGTAGGCTGGAGATCAGTGTGTTACTCCAGCCCTCACGGCTTTGAAACATTTTCAACTGCTAAAGGAATGCATATTGGCATATCACGTTAGTCTTACCCTACCTTACCCCCGGTATAACAGGATTGCAAAGATACAGCAGCACACACTTCAGTGCAGAGAGCAGAGGTCTACTAAGACTAAGCATACACATTTGCATTACTAGCTTACATTAAGTTTGTGTCATCATGTTTCTACTTCCATTGTTTTTTATCCTAGCCTGCTCAACAGTAGTCTGAGGTGCACTATACGTGCTGCGATTTTATCTTCAGCTTCTGTGTAGCTGGGTCCCAGGAATATATGAGAGTACCTGTTACCCTTCACAATTTGTGAAAGCAACCTCACAGCTCCCCTGTAAAGGCAGTATGGCTGTTTCTCTTTTACCAACAGAGAAATGAGACAAAGACAGATTCATATTACCCAAATTTAGCCATGTAGGAGGCGGTATCTAAGCTCCCTCTTTAGTCAATAGAAAGAGGTAGGAATCTCCAGAAGGCAATTAATCCATTGTATTGGAAACACTTCCACTATGACAAGATAAATCACCTTCTGGAGCTGCTAACATCCTTCCACCAAATGTGGAGGTCATGTATCCACCTAACTGAGGACAGGTGCAGAATAAATGTAACTGATATGGAACATAATAGAAATAACTTGGTCTTAGTTATATAAACACTGTAGAAAAGCAGAGAAATAAACTCAAGCTTCCTAATTCTCACATAGACTTTAAACCTTCCTTTCTTTTCAGCCTCTCCTTGAGGCTCAGGTGTATCTGTGGCTAGAAAAGCCTCCTGGGGAAAAGCACAGAGACACTGTTATGGCTGGACTATCGCAGCTCCTTCTAGCAAACCATCTCTTGAAGGCCAGCTAGAGTTCACTCTTAAACTGGACTTAAAGAGCACGTTGTGCTTAGCATTTCTACCTGCTCCTTACCAGTATAATTCAAGGAACTGTCTTTAAAGCTTTTAGTGAACTCAGATAGATTAAATTGAGGACACTTTTAACATTCATTCTCTTCTAAACTAGAGTTGCATAGAAAAAAAGAGATAGATGAGACATTTTAGATACTCAAGTCTTGATTACAGAACGTTATAGAGATCAGAGTATGTTCTGGTTCAATTGTTTTTGGAGGTAGATGCAAGACTCTCATTTTTACAGAAAAGCATTTGTAATAGCAGAAGATAAGCTAATAAAAACAGTTCAATTTCAATCTAAGGCAAGAGCACAGTCCAATTTTGTGTTTGCTCTTAAATGCCTCTTAACATGCTAAATTTCTGCACTTGTGCGCTGTAATGATTGATCTTGTATGTATCCTGAGTAAATACATTATTTTCGCTACCTGAACTGAGGAGGACTGTGAGCTCCAATATGTATTTGCTCTCTTGCAGATTCTGGTCTAAAGGAGTTGCATCTTACCTAATAAAAGATGAAAAGCAGAAACAGGCACATTATTTGAAATGACTTTGTAAATAAGGCAGAATGTCATATCAGAAGTTCTTTAGATACCTACTACTTATAGAATGCACAAAATGGAAAGAAACCATGAACTCCTATTTTGTTTCACCTTTGGTAGCTTTGTAGTTATCTCTTGGCATATTGTCGTGTTTTTCAAAACGCAATGGATCAAATCTCCACCCACTGCTATTCTCCACCCACTCATTCCCATCATCTAATCACAGCCACTTTGCTAGTTCCTTTTTGCGATTCTCTACAATTGAAGCTTGTTTTTCAGCTTGCGCTGCAGCATCCCACACCTCAATAATTATCAAGTACACATACCTTTGAGACCAAGAAGTAATGTGTATAAAAGGTACAATGTAATGATGATTCTCACCTCTAGAATTGCATCTATATTACCTGACACATTTGCTCAGAACTGGAATGTTAGTTTCTTCTGAAATGACACATTTCTCAAGTTTACATCAATGGTCCCTTATTCACTGTTCCTATAATACAATACTTAGCCCAATTGTAACCGCCCACAAAACAGGGTAGGGAAAATATTTGCACAACCAAATAGTCCCTTTTGTGCTATATCTATTGCATGAAAGACCTCATATAGTCAGCCCTTACCTTATCTAAGTCCCTGTGTTGAATGTTTCCCATCGACAAAAGCCAGACAGCCTTTAAGCCAGATAGCCTATGGGAAACATGGACTTCTGCACAATTTTGGCTGGCTGGAGACAGCCCTGACAGTTTGGATGAGCCTATTGAGAGTCTCGAGCTCTGTAGAAGTAGGCTGAGCCCTCACAGTGTGCACTGGACCTTTGACTCCTGCAGCGGTCCTCTAAGACTCTCAGATATTTCCTATGGCTTCAAAGTCTTCCTGGGGAAAAACTAACACAGTGTGAAACTCAGCTCAGTATAAACAACCAAACCAACCTTCTTATCCATTAATATAGTCAAACTTAGGTGGCCATAAGCCTATACACTGCTACACTGACTCTCTGCAGAGAAAAAGTGATTTTCATCCAGGGTTGGTTAAAAAACAACATTGGTTACACTAGGTGCCATTTCTTCAGTTTTCTATGATTCATTCCTTTAGGGGTGAGCAAAGTTTTATAGCCCAGCTTTTACTCATCATATAGGTAGTTTGTGCAACTTTTCACCAAATGAATCATTTCTGATTCTCCCCCTTGTTCTACACCAGTTTTTATAAAAAAATTGCATTCTCTGTCAAAGGTTTATCACAACCTATATTTAGCGTACAGCAAAAAAGCTGTGGAAAAAAAACATTTTCTTCACTGCTGCTTAGTTTCACTGAACAATGTGCCCAATACAAATGGGAGTGATACACTTGCAACAGGAATCTGTAGTTAAGCAGTGAGAAACTGCTGTATCTTGTGAGCCCTGCAAAAATGGGAAGCTTAAAAGGGAAGATGTTAAGGAGTCAATAGGTGCACGAAGACTTAGCAGTGGAGGGAAGCAGGAAAGAAAGCTGCTGTGACAACACAGTGCAAGAACAAGAATAATTTCAGCAGTTCTGGCACCATGGATGGATAGATGAGGATAAAAAGAGAAAGAGAAAAGAAGTAACAGTCTTGGGAAAAGAAGTCTCTACTTATATCCTTAAAACTCTGGGTTGAGTCGGTATAGATTGTTAAAACAAGGCAATCTCATCTCCACACTGTATACTGTGCAAGTTAATAGATGTAGACTTGAAACACATTTATACTACTCACATGGGCATAACTCAGAAAGAAAAGCTGGTTGTGTGTGAATTCAAGGCCTGGCAGTAAAGGCTCTTCTTCTCCTCCTCTCTTTTCTACAATCCATCTCCTGTATGCCTGATAAGAAAGAGACACTGAGTGCCCTTCAGTGACATGGAGCCTCACCACTTTTTTTCTTTTAAGCAATACCATATTTCAGCCATTTTTCATCTACTTACCCTGAAAGCCTCTCGCAAACCTCCGTTATCTGCAATGTTTTCCGCCAAAGTCCTCTTGCCTTTTACCTGGCAGAATGAAAGAACATCAGTCATTTGACCTGTTTTTGAACTTCCTTCTTGATCAACTTCAAGAGACAGGGGAAAAATAAAACAAGGCGAGGACGACCTCAGCCAATTTCAGCAATCATATCTCTGGTAAAGAAAATCGGTTTTCAATGTGAAAACTGTCAGTAAACAATTCTCCGTGATGAGTTAGCCTGGCTGTGGGCCTAGATCTCAGTAGCACAAAATGTAGTAGATAAAACAGCCTCAAGAATCCTGTCCCTGATCTTTGATCTGAGCATCAATAATTTTCCCTCAGGACTGTCTTTCTCTGGTTGCACGTGAGATCCAGTAGCCCCTTTCATAAGCTTTTATTTGAGAAATTGCATTTGTTTCTCTACATAACTCTTCCTTTACATACTACTGGGAAGCTACAATAAGTTTTAAGTCATAACATAAAACAGCATAATTAAAAAAAACTGTCAGAGAGAGAATTGAAATTGATAGTGTATTCAGAGCTCTAAAAAAAAAAAAAAAATCTACAAAGGAGTTTCATGTTGCTTTTCCCCAGGATTGATTCCAGCAGCAAGAGCACTGGCAACAAGAATATATTCTGAGAAGCAGTGCTATCTAAGCTTTCTGAAAAAGCCAGTCTCCTGGTATTAGAAAGTGTAATATCATTATGAAGAAATCCTCATTTCTGTGAAGTGCAGCATTATCTCTGATCACCCGGCCTACTAGGGTCTTAGTGTTATCAGACTGTATTTGTAATTAAGCAGTTTTACGCTCTGCTATCCCTCCAGCGAGCAACGTAATTGAGTACAGTTTTGAGCAGAGCTCTGAAGGTCAGTGCTGGTCTGCAAATCATCTGCTGATGGGTCCTCCCATGTTGCAGGGGATGAGTGCAGAGGGTTGGGTGTCAGGACCCACCTTAGTGTCAGGATGGTAAAAGAGAGGAAGATGGGGGAGGAGAGGTAAAAGCACCCTGGTAGTACCCAGGTACACACACACAACCCCACCACTCTGTGCAGACACGCACCTGAATCAGACCTCAGGCATCTCACTGGACCTGGCAAGGGCATAAGAGCAAAGAAATGGAGGCAGCAGAGGAGAGCGCACCCCTTTCCTCCCAGCCCTCCCCTCCCCTCCAGACAGGAGGACGGACCTGGAGGTGGGAGGGAGGTAACTAGGAGAAAAAGTGCTGGGATACCAAGGAACACATACACACCTATACTAGCTTTGTTTCTGGCCTACCTACTCCTAATTTTTCCTTGGAGTAGGCTCATGAAGAACACTGATGTAGAGCATAAAATGAGAGTAACCTAGCAGTGGCACACTGGCCATAGGTTATTTCAGTAAAACTTTCCACTAATCTCAGGCAGCTCTGGGTCATGCATCTGAGACTGCTATGTGCAGACAGTTCGTGACAGGGTGCAGGGACCATGATAATCCCTTTATTTGATCAGATGACTTTAGGTGATTACTGTACTCTGAAGCAATTTCTATACCCACTTTTTCTTTCATTAAGCTTCTTTTCTGGAGACAGTTTTATTGTAAACTGAGTGAGAAAGTGGAAGAGTAAATAGGTTTCTTGAGCTATATAAAATGTTCCTACAGGGGTTAAAAAAACCAAAACAAAACTGCAGAATGTACAAATATTGGAGATGTAAATGACAGAAAAAAGGAAAGAAGGAAAGTTCTTTGCATGTGTACCTCTTCATACAGAAGCTATAAAATATTGCAGAAAGTATCAAGATTCTTTCTCTACCCTCTGTAAAGAGCTTAAAGTTATCCTACAAAAATCCACTATATTTCAGGAGAAAAAGCCTTACAAGTGACAAGGCTGCAGATGAAAGGATCTCACTGTTAAGCCCATCCACCAGCTTCAAAGGTTCTAACGATCCTGGAAGGGAAAATTCAGATCTACTCCACCTCAAAAGACACTGCAGAAAGCAAAGCGGATGGATGGGCCAAGGGCAGAAGCATGGAAAGGACTCAGTTCCTTGTGGAAAGTTTTAATGATCTTCTGTAAGTGACATTTTTGTGTTGACAGTTTTTGCAGTGCAGATGTTCAGGAATCAGCCCAAGAACTTTTATTTGCAAATTATCTTATATGAAGTACTTCAGGTCTGAGCTGCTGGACTTCAGATTGGACTGCAAAATGACCTTGTTATCTCTGAGACTAATACAAACAGCTCAGGGAAAACTGCTAACATTCCT